CTATTAACTTCAAATTATCCTCCAGTATTAGTCCTAGCAGTGAAGAAGAGAGGATGGAGATGTCTCGAGTACCGTATGCATCGGCAGTGGGAAGTTTAATGTTTGCTATGATATGCACAAGACCAGACATTGCACAAGCAGTGAGAGTGGTTAGTCGGTACATGGTGAATCCAGGAAAAGAGCATTGGAATACAATAAAGAGAATCCTGAGATACATCAAAGGGACCTCAAATGTTGCATTATGTTACGGAGGATCAAATTTACTAATAAATGGGTATGTAGATTCTGACTATGTAGGGGATTTGGATAAAAGCAAATCTACTACAAGGTATGTGTTCAAAGTTGCTGGTGGAGCTGTAAGCTGGGTTTCAAAATTGCAGTCAGTTGTGGCTACATCCACAACAGAGACAGAATATGTAGCAGCTACACAAGCCAGTAAAGAAACAATTTGGTTGAAGATGCTATTGGAGGAGCTTGGGCACAATCAAGAGTATGTCTCTCTGTTTTGTGACACTCAAAGCGCCTTGCATTTAGCAAGGAATCCAACATTTCATTCAAGGACAAAGCACATACGAGTTCAATATCATTTCATTCGTGAAAAAGTGGAAGAATGGACGGTAGATATGCAGAAGATCCATACCAAAGACAACATAGCAGATTTTATGACGAAGGCGATCAATGCTGATAAATTTACTTGGTGCCGATCCTCTTGTGGTCTGTCAGAGACATAAGCAACATGATGGTACAAGGTAGAAAGAATGGTGTGAAGATATGATTGTTCCAATCATATCTTCAAGTGGGAGATTGTTGAAAAACGGTGCCATGTGCACCGAAAGCATTAAATTGCTTTGTCAAAGGGGGCACCGAAAGGTGCAGAAAATATTTTTTTATGGTAAAATTATTTTTTAGTCATTGTAATTTAGGATATTTACAAATTAGTCCTTAAGCTTCAACTATAAATACCCTAGCTCATTTAGCTTCAAAACCATCCCAAAGCATTCTAGCTTTCTTCCAATACTAGAGAATTTAGAGAGTTTCTTAAGAGTTGTTTTCTCATTTTTATCAAGAGAGAATTATTATTGTTTTCTCCTTGGTAAATAGAGAGAAGTTGTAATTCCTATTTTCTCATAGTGAAATTCTTCTACTGTTGCCCGTGGTTTTTATCCTATATTATTTAGGGGTTTTTCACGTAAATTTTGTGTCTATTTTATCTTCATCTTTATTTTCTCAAATTATCAGTTGCAATTTTACTCTATCCGATAGCCGTCTTCCGCAATACTCCAAACTTTATTCTGGACCAGCTCGAAGAGGACACAACAAGCCATGTTTCGTTGAAACTTTGTTTTGTATTACAAAAGGGAAAAAAATACAGAATTAATAAAGTGATCAATAAATTTGACCAATTGATTTATCATTACTTTTTATAAGATTAATGATCGTCAATCGATTAAAACTATTTCTTTCAAGTCAAATCATATAGAATCAATCGAGTTCTGTGCTAGATGGAAACATTACTGATAACACTATACTAAAGCAGAAAATGATCCGTTCAATGAGGATGAAATTAGGAATGAGCTTTTATTTATTTATGTTGAGTTGCCGAATTGATTTCATCCGTGTCTACTCAAGTTTTATGAATGAAACCATTGTCTTACGAATGTTGATGCAAGATTTTGAAGACAAATAAGGCTCAATCGTACTAGTCTAAGTGTATCTTATTCAACCTTTTACAGATTATCTGATTCTTAGACAGATTGAGGATGATTTTGTTGAGCATGATTGTTGTGCTAAGTTGATTTTACGATGGTCTCCTGATTTAAATATATTTGTTCGAATTTTTGTTCAAATTTAAATGTAATTAATTATAATATTATGATACTGATTGATTTTAATTTGAACAATTCTATTTAAGCATATATGATATTTATATGATATTTATATATATATTTTTATATATTTTTATATTCTTTTTCATATTTGTTAATAAAACTTGTAAAGTTATTTAATAAATCAATTATCATTTAAAATTATATAATATATTTACAATAATTTTTAAAAGAATAAGTTTTGAAGATAAATTTTTTTACAAGAATATAGAAGAGACAATGAAATGATGGGAATAAATACAATCGGGGCCAAATTGAATAAAATATAAAATTGAGAGATTAAATTAAAAATTCAAAAAATTTGTTGTCAAAAAGAGAAATCGATGTTAAACATATATTCTATTGTGTTGAGGAGCAACTGATTCGCACTCATTAAAATAGACTTAAAATTAAAGAGAAATTAAAAAAAATGAGAAAATAATAGATCATATCACAAAACAATTAAATTACTTAACTAAATGTTAAAACAATGTCGTTTTAATTTTAGGTTTCTAAATTATTTAAATTGTATAAATTCAAACTTCAATTAAATTTAAAATTCAAACTAAAAATTTAAATTAATTCGAAAAACCAAAATTTACATTTCTTATATAAAAAAAAAAAGAAATACACTCAATATTTACATTTCTTCTCTCTAATCTACTTGTTCTTTTTTTTTGAAACATCTGTGTCCCTCGCGAACTAAAATACCTGAACTGTTGCACCACCAGGACGGAGCTCGAAGCGGACGCCGGACATGAGTGACCCTTAAATTTGAATGAGCTTGAAGAAGGCAGAGTGCCTCCTCAAGTTGAAAACGAACCACGGAAAGTTCCAGAGTTCGACGTTGAAGCTGCCGGATCAGATTTGCAGCATCACTTTCAATGACAATATGCGTTCCACCTAAATCGAGTCCCAGTTGAAGACCAATAGTTATCGCATACGCTTCAGCAATACATGCCTCGCCCAACACTGCCAAAGAGAGGGCCTTACCAGTGATCATTCCCGTTTCATCTCGAGCAAGAATCCCAACAGCAAGAACCCCCGTGAAAGACACATCACCATCAGCATTTATTTTTATGGTTGAGAGAGGTGGTTTTCGCCATTTAGCTGGTCGTAAATGCGATGCAAACGGATCCGGAGTAGGATGAAACTGAGCATATGCCGCTTGAAGAGACCGAACTTCCGAGATCAAATGCCACCCTGGAGTCATCTTGCCCTCATGAACCAACAAATTACGTCGAGTCCACAACATGTACGCAATTCCCAACATATCAACAAAATGAGACAGAGGAAGAATATGCATCAAATAAATCAACCAATTTTGACATGACGTGTGATCAGTGTGAATATAACCTGCTGTAAATCCTGCATCAGATAAAAGGACAGTCGCATCAACACAATCTCGAACAACATGTAATGTAGTTTCAAGATCAACTCCACAAATAGGACACTTCCCATCACCCAAACCTGCTTGCAACAATCCCGAACCTGTTGGTAGGCTGTCCGTGGCTAATCGCCAACCAAAAACACGCACTTTCGGCAATGTAGGTAATCGGGAAAGAAACAACCATAGAGGGGATGGTGGATTGACTATTTGTTGTGGTCGTTGCAGCCAAGCGTATCCCGATCACACTGAATAATAACCAGAGGAATGATATCCCCAACCAGCATATCTTGATGAATTGGCACAATTGGACACCGAAGTATGGATTCGGTATCCTAAGATGAGAATACTTGTTGCACTAGCTGCTCATTCCATGTTGCTTCACCTGTGTTCATGAATTCGCCACATCGGACAGGTTCCTTAGCATTATCATGATGCACTGTGCCAAACAGAATAGGTTTAGTGGCGCCCCAAAATTCAGAAAACATTCGAATGTTACTATCAATACCTGGTTGCCAGAAATAGCCAGATCGAAAATGTTGAAATTGCAACAATAAGGCCACACCAAGCGTAAGAAGGTCGGTTTCCAAGTGAGGCAGTCTACATATTTCCATTCCGGTAGTATTTACTTGCAAGGACACGACTCATCAGACTCTGATATTGTTGAAATAGATGCCAAACTTGTTTCCCCAGAAGAGCCATGTTAAACGCACGAAGGTCACGAAAACCTAAACCACCCTTTCGTTTCGGTTTACAAATAGACGACCAAGCTAGCAATGGCCATCCATGATCTTCAATTCTTCCTGTCCACCAATAATCCCGAAGCAGTCCATTGAGTTCCGAAATAACACAATTTGGAAGTAGATAACAGCCCATAGCATATGTAGGAAGAGCCTGACCCACTGATGCCGTCATACGAAATCAGATTTTTCGACCAGCCCTGAACCCTCGAATGCAGTTTATCATGGAGGAAGGAGAAAACTTGGCGTTTATTACGACCAATAATTAAAGGAAGACCCAAATATAAGCCTGGATCATTTCGGCTTGAGTGTAACACTCTAGGATCCCACGAATCTGAATCACCTCCTTGATGCCTGAAAAAAGAGAAGACAATCATCTGCAAATAATAAGTGCGTAATAGGAAGTCCATCTCGGCTTAGTTTGACACCCTTAATTTGTCCCGAATTTAATTTTTGCTGCAGCAAAAGAAGATAAACCTTGAGTACATATGACGAACAGAAAAGGAGAGAGCGGATCACCCTATCATAAACCGCGTGATGGTTGAAAAAAAATCAGTTAACAACCCATTGATACGGATGCTATACGAGACAGTTGTAACACAAGACATAACCAGATCAACCCACAATTGATGGAATCCGAGACACTAACATTGCCCGGAGGAAATGCCATTCGATACGGTTATTAGCATTTTCCATATCGACCTTTAACTAATTATCATTCATATAAACGTCATTGTCTCAATATTATAGACCATCACATTAATTATATTAACTACTATGTTAATATCATATCAATCAACATAAATTAAAAATAAAAAGTGATTTAATTAATTAATAAATTCAAAAAGAAAATTAATATGATTAGAAAAAATTGACAAGATTATTGATTTAAATTTATTATATAGGTAAAATATTGGTCTAACCTATTTTGAAACCACTAGAATATAAGATTATGGAAAAATCAAAAGAATGTTTCGTTATTTCTTAAAAAAAAAAAAAAGAAAGAAAGAAACAGTGATGGTCGGGTTTAATTTAGGCCTTTTAACATGAATGTTACGATGAAAATCAAAATTGTAAGATGAAAACGATTTTTGCAGTAAAGATCAACAAAAAATAAATATTGTGGTTTTTTTTTGCAAATTACATCTTTGTGATTAATCTTTTGAAGTATTGATTTTCATCTCTTTTAAGATGCTAGAGTTTGTTGATTTAATCGCTGTTAGTTTTATTATTGATTAAATCTATTATATAATATTATATCCAATGTCAATTTATAAATAGCTCTTAAACTTGCACCATTATTAAAGGATGATACATAAATTGCCCAACAAAATATTCCTTTCGTTTTATAATTTATATTTTATATTTGTTACGTATATAATCTTAATAGATATATTTGATTAAAGAAAATAATAGAACTAAACTAAAAAAATTAAATGATTTAGATTCGGGAAAAAATAGAAGTGACAAATCTTCGCATTTTTTAGAATTCAATTCTTTTCAAGTTTGAATCGAACATTAATTTTTTATTTCAAGTTCACATTTTTTATTCAAGCTCGACGATATTCAGAATCGTCTCACTTGTACACTTAATCGAGAATTTAACGTGGAACAAATACGATTTCAATTTTGAATACATTTTCGAGCACGGGAAAGGTCATTCGAGATCAAACCCAATAACAAATCTAGGACAAAGCTCCCATGATAATAAAATTTTATTTAACTTAGGTTATTATGTTAGTACAATGATATATATATACCCTCGTATAATCTTCTTGTAATTTACTGCCAAATTTAGTAAAATTCTTTTTCTTTGCTTAAGTTGAACAGTTTTTATTATTTTGAACTCATACTCAGAAGTTATTGGATGCTCAATCAAGCACATTGATGGCTAAGAACCGTTATCAGATTAACCATTATACAAACTCTTAACATCATAACTGTGTATCTTAAGATGTCCCTATGTTACATATAGATACAGAACATTGATGGAAATTGGAAATCCTGATCGATCCCTGTTGCTTTCAGCCTCGTTAAGGCATCATGAGAGATGTTTCTTATGCAATCCCAGATTTATCACATCATCTGCAAACAGCCGTATATAAATTTAAATGCTCGTAAATCTATTGACCACTGAAGTACGGGTACTGTAGACCACTCGACACACTCTAAATGTGACAACGTTCACAAGCCTAAAAAAATGACAATGTTAACAGATTTGGGCTCGAATCTTACCATATGGTTAGCGAGACTTCTTTAGCCGTTTTGGTGGCCTCCTTTTCTCTTTCCTTGAATCATCGGGAGTTTTGACATAGATGTATGGCTGCGAATGGAAAGAAAATGATTTTGATAGTTGAAGAAACAGATCAACTGATAACTGATGAAACAATATATTTATGGTAATCTGGAGTTTTGACATTGATATATGCTACTTTGCGCCTAGGAGATCCAAAGACCGAAGAGCAACTAGATCAATTAATCGAAATAAGGTCACAGATACTCGTAATTATTCAGTTTAGAAGTAAGGGTTTAGCTCTATATTTATCAAAAATGATGAGAAGTGTTGAAATCAAAAGGTACATAAATGAAATACCTCGTCCCACTTTTTCTGAAGCTCCATAAGTTCTTGACATTTCGCAAGGCATTTGGTGTGGTATACAGCGGCTAACTCTTTAATTAAGGCCTTCCTCTTGATGATGCCAATAACTGCATAAACACGTATATATTATTCAAGAGATAGTGGAACACGGAGAGCACAAGGTTCTTAAAAAGTGTTCGTGGATGACCACAAACTCTTAAATCCTCCCTAGCCAAATAACTCTATTCACATTAACAAAGCTACAGCTCTGGTTTTACGAAAGGTATCCTTAAATGATAACCCCCAGTCTCATCAAACACCATAACAACTATAATTCGGAACCATTCGATAAAGTAATCAAAACGCTTAAAATCAATCAAACACTGAGTGAACAATGTTCATAACAAGCATTTGAGGATAACACAAAACCCTAAATCCTCCCTAGCCAAATAACTCTATTCACATTAACAAAGCTACAGCTCTGGTTTTACTAAAAGTATCCTTAAAACGTAACCCTCATTCTAAATCAAACACCATAACAACTATAATTTTGAACCATTCGATAAAGTAATCGAAACGCTTAGAATCAATCAAACACGGAGTGCGCGAGGTTCATAAAAAGCATTCGAGGATAATCACGAAACACTAAATCCTCCCTAGCCAAATAACTCTATTCACATTCATAAACAAAGCTACAGCTCTGGTTTTACTAAAGGTATCCTTCAACCATAACCCTGGCTCTCATCAAACACCATAACAACTATAATTCCGAACCATTTGATATAGTAACTGAAACGCTTAGAATATATCAACCACAGAATGTGCAAGGTTCATAAAAAGCATTCAAGGTTAATCATGAAACCCTAAGTCCTCCCTAGACATATAACTCTATTCACATTAACAAAGCTGCAGCTCTGGTTTTATGAAAGGTATCCTTAAATCATGACCCTTGCTCTCATCAAACACCATAACAGCTATAAATCCGAACCATTAGATAATGTGATTGAAGTGTTTAGAATTAATCAAACACAGAGGGTGTGAGGATCGTAAAAAGCATTCAAGGATAACCACAAAACCCTAAATCCTCCCCAGCCAAATAAATCTATTCATATTAACAAAGCTACAGCTCTGGTTTTATGAAAGGTATCCTTAAACCATGACTCTCGCTCTCATCAAACACCATAACACCTATAATTCTGAAATTCGATTAAGTCACTGAAACACTTAGAATTAATTAAACACAGAATGCATGAGGTTCGTAAAAAGCATTCGAGGATAATCATGAAACCCTAAATCCTCCCCAGAAAGGTGTCCTTTAACCATAACCCTTGTTCTCATTCAACACCATAATAGCTACAATTCCAAACCAATCCGAATCATCCAAAGAAGTAATTAAAATGCTTATATTTTGCAAGGATAATTATGAATTCAACCAATAGAATCAACCAATTACTAGTCAAATAGAACCAAGAAAAACAAAGCATAAACAGACTATAGCAATAGAATCAAGTCAACCCAGAGATAGCGCCATCAAACCAACAGATTAATTTCAACAAATTAATACAAACGAACTTCAAATTTGATTATTTAGAAAGCAGATAAAAGAATAACCCAAATTTACGGAAAGAGGGACAATAATCAAAATCACTAAACGGGAAAACGAAGAAAACCCAGAAAACATACTTCGACTAGGATCAAACGGTGGCAGCAGACGAGCTGGCGGAGAAGCCGACGGAGGTTCGTGTTCTTGGCTCATGGAATTAGACTTTGAAGATTGCTTTTTTTTCAACAATACCCAGAACAATAATACTAAAGAACTTTAGAAGTTAATACAATCCAATGATTATAAAGTTATTACTATGAAGAAAACAAAGGCGGTGAACTGGGATTTTGTTTATATATCTCGGTTTCGGCTTTGGCATCTTCTCTTTATCAAAGTCAATAGCTTTTTCCTACCACCAAAGCAAATACGGACTCTGATAACTGTTTATGATGGTTAATCAAAAGAAACGAATGTAAAAATTACACTCTAGGTAACTGAACTATATTAAAAAAAATATCATTTTGATCATTAAATGTTTAAAATATTATAAAATAATCATTAAATTTATCGAACTATATTAATAACAAAAAGCTCGAAGATTTCGTCTTCACGTAACGAGGACAAACTGCAAAAAACACACTATCTCGATAGAATTTTTGGCACTCGGTTTCATCTTTGTTTTGCACTTGTTTATCAACTTCAACGCATATGCTTTCACATTAGGCTGCACACGAGATGAGATTTGCAAAAATTACTCCAACGTAAGGAAAGATTCAGAACACTTTCTTTGAATCCTGTCTCATCCTTAGGGGGGTAAAAAACTGAGTTTAAATAAATAATATTGTGTTTGTGTTCGTTTGTTTATTTTTAAAGATGTTTATATTCGGTTTGTGTTCGTTTAAATTTGACCCAACGTAAGGAAAGATTCAAAATAATCGTTTAACGTTCGCGAACATATTCGTTTATTTATTCATGAACATAACCATTTAGAGTTCACAAACACGTTCGTTTATATATTCAGAAATTAAACAAAACCAACAAAATAAATCTTGCATATCATCCACAGCAACAACAAGATACAATCTTTAAACTCTAATTTTCACATTATGTTCAATTTAGTTCCTATATTCATCATTATTTAAAATGTAAAAAAATAAAATGTAAATGAGCTTCGAAACGAGTCATTAAACAAGTTTGTTCATAAACATAAACGAACAAGTCAATAAAAGAGCTTATAATTGAGCTTGTTCATGAACATAAACAAACCAAACCCGTATGTTCGTGTTCGTTTGATTATTAAATAAACATCAAAATTTTTGCTCATACTGGTTTATTTAACTTAACAAACAAACATAAATGAATGTCATACGGACGATTTATGAACAATTAATTGAACACTATGTTGATTTACACTCCTACTGATCTCGTGTAAATAGATAGTGTTGTGGCACGTAATTATGTACAAGTATACACAGTCAACCATGTAATATAGTAGTGAGTTGTCACTAGGTAAAAATATAAAAGGGTATGCATGGTGAAGAAATTTATGTCGTGGCAAGAAATGATACGAACAAATGAAAAATTATGCAGTGGCAAGAAATTATATGAAGTGAAAAGAAAAATGTGTTGTGGCAAGAAATTCTGTAAACATTGAAGCAAGTAAAGTAAAATTATGCTATGGCAAGAATTTATCTGAGATTTGGAAATAGACTGGTAACCTCACACAAACAAGTTTCTATGGAGTAAATGGCTGGACTTGTTATGGCTAGAAATTTGACCGAAGAAGGAGACAAGGGTAGACGAGCAGCAATCTAGTCGGAAATGCTGAAGAAAATTGGCAAGTATGTTCTAATCCTAGATGATGTATGGGACAAATTCTCTTTAGAGGAAGTTGGGATCCCTGAGTCGAATAGCAGCAGCGGATGCAAGTTGGTGTTGACATCTCGTTCAAAGCAAGTATATAACTGTATGGGTTGTAGGGATATACCAGTGGTACCCCTGTCAGAAGAAGAGGCATTGTTACTATTCTTGAATAAAGTTGGACCAAATATGGTGCAAAATCAAACTTTAATGCCAACGTTGAGGCTTGTTGTCAATGAATGTGATGGTTTGCCTCTTACAATTGTTGTAGTAGCTGGTACGTTGAGAGGAGAAGGTGACCCTCGTGTTTGGAAAACTGCACTCAAGGAATTGAAAGACCGAATAGGGGTGGTGGAAGGAGTAGAAGCTAAAGTGATTAAGCGCTTGAAATTTAGTTTTGATTATTTAAAAGATGAGAAAGTGAAATGTTGCTTCTTGTACTGTGCATTATATCCTGAAGATTTTGAAATTGAAGAAGATAAGCTGATCGAAAGTTGGATTGACGAAGGATTTATAGATGAAATGGATACAAGACAAGGGCCATGCAATTTTGAAAAAGTTGGAAGATAACTGATTGTTGGAAAAAGTTATGTATGAAGACGATCAGCCTTGTGTGAAGATGCATGATGCAGTGAGAGATGGCATTGTACATCACAAGCATGGTTCCTCGATATATGATACAAGCAGGCATGCAACTAAAAAAGTTACCAAAAGAGAAGAATGGAGGACGGATATCGAGAAAGTATCGCTTATGAAAAACTCCATATCAGAGATTCAGGAAGATACGTGGCCTCGAAATTGTCAGCTGCTCACAACCTTGTTACTGCAAAAGAATCCTATAAAGAAGATCCCAAGTGCTTTCTTTGCAAACATGCTTCATCTGAATGTTCTTAATTTGTCATATACGGGTATCGACTCTTTATCCGAATCCATCTAAGAGTTAAAGAATCTCACAACATTGTTGCTTCATGACTGTTACAGATTAAGACATCTGCCTTGTCTTTCAAAGCTTCAAGTATTGAAGAAGTTGGATCGATCTTTATTGCAACAAAATTGAGAAAATTCCGGAAGGCATGGATATGTTGGTAGATCTAAGGTATCTTGATCTTAGAGTGTCCTCTTTGAAAGATATGCCCAGGGGACATTTACCAAAACTCTCTCACCTTCGACGCTTGAGGTTTGATTTGATAATGAAAAAACAAGCTTGAAGGCAGAGGAGGTAGTGTCACTGGAGAAGTTGGAATGCTTTGAAGGATGGTTCCAAGACATCGATGAATTGAATAAGTTTGTCTCTTCCATGCAGCAGTCCAAGAAAAATCTCATCAAGTACATACTGCAAGTGGGCACATCTTATTAGCGATGATTTATTAAAAAGGATAAAAGTGTAATAATCGGTAAATATAAGTTTAGTAAAGCTAAGTTAATGCTCCCATATGATGTTCAACATTTGGAGATTCTAGGGTTTGTAGAATTGCGCGCTGCCAAGAGATAGAGTGTGTTTTTCCTCTTCTTGCACTCAACCATTTCAAAGCCTTGAAAGGTTATCTCTTTCTTATCTGCCAATGTTGAGTGAAGTTATCAAAGTTGAAAGATTTGAATCATCAATATTTACTTCATCTGCCACATTTTCTCATATTGAAGTTATTAATTTACGAAGCTGCTCAAGTATGAAGACAATACTCCCGCATTGGCTACTTCCCAACCTCCAAAACCTGGAAGAAATCAAGGTAAAAGAATGTGATCAACTAATGGAAATATTGGCAGCTCCAACATCGAAAGATGGAGAGAAAGGAAGTGATGCATTAATCAAATACAGTCTTAGAGCATCTGCAATAAAAATGGAGCATTGGTTTGTGATTCTCTCCAGCTAATCCTTGTTGGTGATTGCTCTAAGCTGAAAAGAATTCCACCATTTGTTCCACTTGTTGGCAATGGGCAGCCATATGCATATGTTCCACCTTCTCTGAAGATCAGAACAAGAACAAAATGGTGGGAATCGTTGGAGTGGGATGATCCAAACTTTTAAAATGTTCTTCAACCCCATTTTGTCGATTGGTAATGGCAATGTTCAAGAAAAAGTAAGCTATTTTTCTCTTCTAATTCTCATTTCTCTATTTCAATTCAAATTCAGGCTCAATTGTAGAAAGATATTAAGTGCTTAGTTGAAAAAAAAAACAGAAGATTGATCTATAATTAGAACAAAAGGAACAGATAAGTTATGTTTTGATTTAAGACATTTGAATTCTAAATTTAGGACATCAGGATGTTAGCTTAATAGAGTTCGAATATGAAAATTTTGTTACATCTAACTTTAGTTGAAAAAATCGAATAAACAAATTAGGACATAAACCGCACAAAGATTTTGTTAATTATCTTTTGGTCTAAATTTAGTACTACAGCCAAAAGTTTCCTCAGTTGAAAGCTATTATTGAGCATGTCTTCGTCAACTCTGCCAATATCAATACCGTAAGTTCGAATTTGCAGCCCAATGCTACTTACAATCAAACCGGTGAACAGAATTTGATGTTTCCAAATGTTGTAGCATTGATTTGGAGAATACAGGCACTTGAATACGGTGAATGGGGAAGCACAAGATGTTGAACTAAAGTCAGTAACGGCATATATATTTGTGCAATGCGAAGCATGTTGATGAAAAGACTCGAGAAATGCAGACTTTTTTTTGATAGAGCTCCTAATGCCTTTAAAACTCTTTTCATTAAGGGTCCAAGTGTTGAGTTGCCTCTCCCAACATCAAGCCTAGTTGGTGAGAAAGCGGTGGCAATGTTTGATGCAGAAGGAGGTGAGCATTGTTGGGGTGTGTGGATGGGCGGCGTTGGTAAAACCACCATCATGAAGCATGTTAACAATGACCTTTTGAAAGAAAGTCGATTTGATAAAGTTAATTTGGGTGACTATATCAAAGGAGTTCTATCATATAAAGTTACAAGATGATATTGTAAATGCACTGGGTTCAAAGGAAAACTTGGTCGAAGAAGGAAATATGGATAGACGAGCAGCTATCTTGTCAGAAATGCTAAAGAAAACTGGAAAGTATGTTCTAATCCTAGATGATGTGTGGGACATATTCTGTTTAGAGGAAGTTGGGATCCCAGAGCCAAGTAGTAGCAATGGATGCAAGATGGTATTGACGACCCGTTCGAAGCAAGTCTGTAACCGTAGGAGTTGTAGAGACATACCAGTGGCACCTCTCTAAGAAGAAGAAGCATTGATGCTATTCTTGAATAAAGTTGGAGCTAACATAGGGCAAAGTCAAACTTTAATGCCAACTTTGAGGCTCGTTGTCAATGAATGTGATTGTTTGCCACTTACAATTGTTGTGGTAGTTGGTACGCTCAACGGAGAAGATGACCCTCATATTTGGAAAACTGCACTCAATGAATTGAACAGGCGAACAGGGATGGTGGAATGAGTGGAAGCTGAAGTGATTGGACGTTTGAAACTTAGTTTCGATCCCTTAAAAAGATGAGAAAATGAAATGTTGTTTCCTGTATTATGTATTATATCACGAAGATTATAAAATTAAGAAAGATGAGCTAATCAAATGCTGGATTGACGAGGGATACATGGATGAAATGGATACAAGAAAAGAAATGGTAGACAAGGGCCATGACTTTTTTATTCAATTTTAAAAATAATATTTTGATTGTTTTATTTAATTATATAAAAATTAAAAAATAAATAAATTTAAATTTAGTTAGTGTTTAAGTTAACTCGTGATATACTGATATCAAACTCGATTAAAATTGTAATTAGTAGTATAAATATAATAATATTCATTATAATTTAAAATAAATTTTTAATAATTTTAAATTCTATTAAAATTTGAGTTGATTTATGATACCAAATTCAATTAAGACTTTAGCTATCAATATAATTAATAATAATATAATAATAATTTTATAATCCAAAAACATAACAGTAATAATAATTTAGTATTTTGTTTCTTTAATAAAGATATCCTATCTGTCGTTCGATTTTACATTTACCACGTGGCAATAGTACAAGAACCACAGCATTAACAACAATTCGCGGGCATTAGCATCCCTATAAATGCCCTCTTACCTCTCGTAATATTCCCTCCTCGTCCCCGTTACGCCAAAAATTTCTTCTTTTTTCTTTTCCCTCTCTGAAACTAAAAAAAAATTATATGGAGACTCAAAAACGCCTCCAGAATGGGAACAATGTTGACGGAGATGGATCGGCCTTAATCTTCCTCGGAACCGGCTGCTCCAGCGCCGTCCCCAACGCAATGTGCCTCCTACGGCCATCTGATCCTCCTTGTCATGTTTGCTCTCAATCCCTCCAGATCGCAACCCTAATTTCAGGTTTACTTCCATTCCCCCTTCTTTTTATTAAATTTATGTATGTGTGATTATTATTTGGCATTCCGTGGTGGTGGAATTTGTTAACTTTTCCAATCTTTTTTGTGCCTAAGATATGTTTCTCGGTTTAGTTTCATAAAAGATGTTAGTTTCAACCCCACCCCCCATTTGTTTTGATTTCAACGCCTTTTTCCCCAGGTGTAATACATCTTTTCTTATAGATTTTTGTTCGACCAATGGTATGCATAATTATATTTTAATCGATGTTGGGAAGACATTTAAGGAGCAAGTTCTTCGATGGTTTACGTTCCACAAGATTCCTCGGATCGATTCGGTAAGCTAAATTTCATTTTTCCCCACATTTATTGTTTTTGGTTTATTTTTGTACTAAATTATTTGGAAAATGGTTAGGATTTGAATTTGGTTTTATCTGTTCTGTTGTTTTATATGATATATAGCAAGCTAGTTGTATGTATGTAATTGCTTTATGTTTTTTACCAATATAATATTTTCTGTTTATGAACGGAATTCCAAGCTAGTACTCATTTCTGCATGAATGCAGATTGTTTTGACTCATGAACATGCTGATGCAGTTCTTGGTTTGGATGATGTACGTGTTGTGCAACCTCATAGTCCTACAAACGATATTGATCCCACCGAGATTCACCTAACTCAATAAGCCATGGATAGATAATACTATGCTCTCTTTTTTATTTCACGGGGTCATTGTTTGTAGCCTACAGATTGTTTGTTATGCTTATATAGCATCAAGATATATGTCCTTTGACATGTTTTTTGTAATGTGAGAGGTTAATGCAATAAAATGCTTTAAGTAACTTATTCAAAAGTTTGGTTTTGGATGTTAGAATTGAAGCTTATTTCCCTAGTAAGCTATCAATAGCAGAAAAGGATTTGCTTTGGTTTATGATATCTCTAGCAACCTTGAATAATGTTTACTTTGGTTGTCCCTAAACAGCATTGCCACAAAATTTCCTTGGTTCAGAAGAAACTTAGAGACGGTCAAGAAGTACGGAGGGTGGCACAGCTTGACTGGAAGATAATTGAGGAGAGCTGTGACAAGTCATTTGTTGCTTCAGGACTAGAATTTGTTCCTTTGCCAGTTAGTGTGCTTTCTTAATATAATATACTGTATCTACCTTAAAATTTATGCCCAAGTGCTTAATCAGACTTTTGATCCAGATGATGCATGGAGAAGATTATATCTGTTTGGGTTTTCTTTTTGGTGAAAATTTTAAATTGGCTTATATTTCTGATGTCTCACGTTTTCCTTCAAACACAGAGTATGGCGGGTGTTGCTTTTGCTCCTTTTTTTGTTTGTGCACGTGCATTTACACCTTTATACATATTTCATTCTTCTTGATGTTAAATTTGGGGAGGAGACTTCTATTTTCTACACGCTATCTTTAGTAGCTTGTCAATGTTAGACTTGTAGGAATGTATGCGTTGGATTTTCCTCAATGACTTAACAATTGAATGATCCTTCAAGTATTGTTTTAATATTTTCTGCCCCGAATGGCTCACAAACAGGATACTTCTTTGTGGCTTTACTCAAATTGCAAAATATAAAATGCTTAGGGATCATTGCTTTATGCACTTATTCTGATCCATTGATGCCTAGTGTGCCTTGGTGAAAAGAAAGCACGTGTTTTCTCACTTCTAAGCTTTTGGTGTTCTAAGTATTTTCTATATGCATTTACTCTGATCTGTTCATGTCATGAATTGTGTTTGATTGGAATATTATGTTTACAGTTATTTCCAAAAATGGTGGTGGACAATTGGATTTTTTGATATTGGATTGTTTATACAAGGTACGTTATTGTTGAATATTTCTTCATTGTTGTAGTTAGTGAATCGTCTAGGAACTTAAGGAAATTGAATGACAGAGTTTGATCCATGCTGATTCTTCCATAACATATCTGCTTATATGCTAGTGCTGCTCTACCTTAGTGATTGTTTATATGTCGAATGGTCTAGTTGAGATTTGCTTTTGGGTTACAAATTGTGACATATTGAATTGTAAGACTTGAAAAAGCTTACATGGGGAAAGGTTACTTTAATCTAATATCTATTTCTGTACTCAATTTTCAGCAACTTAAAAACTACTATTATAGAGGTTTAATGAACATTTATGTACCTTAACCTAATCCTTGAAGATAATATGGTTTATGTAGTTTTCTCTTTAATGATGATGGTTAAGATCTTTATTCCAGTTCACTCCAATGCATTTGAGGTGTAAATTTCCGTGCTTTGTCTGTTCATCACTGATTTATGATTGTCGTATTATTTATCGAGTATCTTCTCTGAACTAACATGCCTTATGTTTTCTACATAACAGAAAGGATCCCATAACGTCCACTTATGCTTACCCCAGGTTTATTCTAAATTTTCCAATAATTCATCTTCGAATTAATATTTTAATTGTCACAAACCAATCATATCCCACTCTCGCTTGTTTTATTTTAATGGTCATCAATGTCTCCTTGCGTTCGATTTTTTGCCCATTAGGAAGAGAGAAGCCTGAAATTCACTGGCACTTCCCATCCATATGCTTCGTCTCTCAACATGACAATGAAGACAACTTGGTACATTGTCCCTGGTGAGAGCTTTGATACATGGAATTTTCCGACCAATTCTAGCCAGCAAACTTGTACAAGCTCAGCAACTTCAGTGACAACATCACTGCAATAAATTAACAAAGGTTAATGTTTATTGGGTTCGTGGTTAGTGTTCGGAGTCGGGTATGTTTAGTTATTGGTTTAATTGCACGAGATGTCCCCAAACTACGAATATATCAAGTACGGATAATTCACGAAAAATGAAATTTCGAAATACGAGTGGATCGATCGACCTGGCCGATTCTGTTTGATGCGACCAGTGCCAGAAACGATTGTCTTCAGCCCAAGTGATGGAGAGATCTCTCGCAAACAACATGAGGCAGTTTTTGTTGTTCTTATCAACCCAGTACTTCTGCAACAATAATGGATGCCATCAAAATATCGAACTCAGAAAACGGTTACGAATATCATTAGTTCGCTTGAATGGTTGGTTTAAATTATTAAATTTTATATAAGAAAATATTAGAACCCGTTTTTCCGACATTGATTTTTGTGTGATGGACCACAGGACCAGAATCGTTAACGGTATTAACTATTTCTACGGGCTAACGGCATTATAAAAGTCGAGAAACCTAATGATTTTAATTTAAAATATAGGCTAAATCTTGAATTCGACCATATAAGAGTGACCCAAACCATACTTGTAAAAGTAGAGGCGGGCAGCAAACTTTGCTAATTTAAAGTACAGAGACTAAACCGTAAACTCGATCATTGTTGAGGGACCATACCCATAATTTGACTTAACATCTTTTAACATGAATGAAGTACTTACCTTTCTCTTCTGGTTCAAGAAAACCCCGGAATGAAGCTGAGGGAGCACCTTATCCATGCTGGACATACCGACAGACGAGTCGGCATCTTTCAAGATGGCTTCGTAGTTATACGGAAGTTGTATTTTCTCGGTTTTCTTGGATGTTCGGATCAATAACAAGCTTAGGGTTGGCTGTTTTCTCCGTTAACGGCCGAACTGGGACATTATTTTCCTGATTCTTCGGCTCGACGCTATTGTTTTCGAGTTTCGGTTCCAAGTCTTGTGACTGTGAAGCTCCCATCTTTAATCAGTGTAATGTATTTATAGTATGTGCATTCCTACACAGGATAATTGGAACTCGGGCGTAAGTGTATTAGTGCATATAAAATATATAAAAGTTTAAGTTCAAGTTCAAGTTTTATATGTATTTAAGGGATTTTTATATAACTTATTATATGATTAAATTTTAATTTAATTTATTTTATTTATAATTTCAAGATACGAATGTATAACGCTACGATTAAACAAGTTACGTGAGGAATTGAAAGTAAGAGGGTCTTCTATTCTTTATAAAGGCATCAATGCATTGAAATATATATATATATATATATATTCCTTATGCAACTTTAAAGGAGATTACCAGCATCTTACGGCTGCTTCATGATAACGCAAGAAAAAAAAAGGATCGGATGCTTTTGTCGACGGTTTTGCTTTTTATATTTTTTCGCACGAATTACAATAGAAATAAAAACGAAACTCGAGCTCGAATACCGTTGAGTTTGTTTTGAAAAGTTTAAAATTGATTTCGATTCAATTCATAAATTCGTGAATTCAAATTTGACAAGTTTGACTTGAACTTGTAATAAAAAACTGAAGTTCGACTCAAAATCTCACGAGCTTAAAATTTTCAAGCTCGACTCGAAATCAAAAATTGAAGTTTGACTTGAGCTTCAAAAAATTTGAACTTTTGACGTTCTCAAACTTGGCTCTATTGAAGCTAAAACTCAAACTTCGAGCTGTTTGTGAGCTTTCCGAGTCAGGTATCATGAAACTCTTTTTGACTCGTTAAGAACTCGAGTCGAATCCATTCAATTCAAGTGTCGATTGAACTTTGACCGAGTCAAACTTGAGTAACTCAAATATGTCTCGTCTCATTTTAAACCCTAATTACGGGTGTGACTCATTTATTGATATTAATGATACGAGTAGAAAATATTTTCGTTGAATCAGATAAAATTATAAAGACAATTTTTTCTTGTAAAATATATTTAATTTGTTGCATTAAAAAAATGGAACCCGTTAATTGAGCTCGAATAATCTCATGTCTGTCTGTTAGTCTAAGTACTAAGTGCCTTTAATTATGTATATGCTATGAAATACATGATTTAGTCTTGAATTATATATATGTATTTATTTTTAATATATTAACTTTCATTAACTTATGTTGATATTTAAGTAATCATTTTTGTCGTAAAGAAAAACCAGTCATTAAAAACACAATACATTCTTATTGAATGTTGATAAAATGTTAGGGTAAAACAAGATGCAAACGAACGAAACAATATAAATATAAATATAATTTAAGAATCAAATTATAAATAATTTTTTAAAAATTAGGCTCAATTTGTGAAATGTGGATATAGGTTGGGCTATCGGGACCAACTTTAAATTAAATATAATATAAAAATTAAAGCTTATTAAAATAATATTTTTATTTTAAGGTAACCACTTTATTATTTCAACTACCTTCCGTCGATAATAGTGGAAAAGGCGCCGGTAGAAAGTTTATCGCTGCACTAAAGACTGCTTGGAAAGTTGGGCGCAGATCTAAGAGCCGAAATGCGAAGAAGATAAATTGAATAATCTATAGCTTATATGGACCATTTTCTAACTCATATCTGCAAAATTCAATACCTTATTCGTAGAACGATACTTCATTAATTTGGATGAAATCGAATAATTATCTTTAAAAAAGTAGCATTAATACATCTTGATAAATTTTATCTTCTGATTTCAAAGAAGATTTCAGACTTCGAAATAAATTCAAAATCATCTCTTAAGCATTGTTTATTGTCTCAACTTGCGAAGAAGTACGTGAGGTGTCGTACGTTTGTGAAGTCGAAACGTCTTCGAAAGGCGAACCGGAGGCCATTAAATGGGGGAGATGGGTACAACTTGAGCTTAGCATCACTATTTAAACCATTGAAATAACTTCAATTGATCATTAAAACCAAAACCCACCTCTGGAAACCATCAACCCAAATGGGCACCATTACGAACAAGTTTATCATTATGTGTTCGATACTGTTTCGGATTTCAGCCATCGGTTTTGCCCAAAATACTACTGCCTTTTTCATCTTCGGAGACTCACTGGTCGAAGTCGGAAACAACTATTATATCGACACGTTGGCAAAACCGAGCTTTCCGAATGGCATTGACTTTCCGAGAGGCACTCCATCCGGACGATTCACCAATTCCCGAATAATTACAGACATTATAGGCAAGTTTCTTTGAATTCTTATATAACTATCCAACCGTAATATCGGGATAATGTGTCGTTATGTTATTTTATGACTGATATTTGTTGCACTTGTTATGCAACTCGTTTCTCGGAGATAATATGTTTATCCAGATCGTCTAAATATCAAGTAAACCTTTGAGTTTGGACGGATAACTCGACTCTCGTGCTTCGTTAATTTCGTTGATTTTTAATTTGTTTGAACAGGGGAAGAATTGGGGTTTCAGGATTACACTCCTCCTTTCTTGGCACCTAATACTACCGGAGATACGATTTTGAAGGGAGTTAACTATGCCTCCTCTGGAGCTGGAATTTTACAAGCCCCCGGATCACTCTTCGTACGATTAGTCGGAGTTATTTGTCGATGCTTAATCCGATCAAATCTGATTTGACCATAAAGTTGATAACTTAAAAATCAATCCAACCCGAGTCTAAATTAACTTGAGTTCAAAATGATATGAATTTGAAGTGAAAACTCGAAATGATCTTAAATGTAATGAGTAAGCTTGAAAGCTCGAGACCTGGATCCAAATAACATGAACTCGAAATTGACCCGAATTCGTATATGTTGCGGGGTGAACGAATTTGGATGGATAAACAAGTGGATTACTTTGCCAAGACTAGGCAAGACATCATATCAAGAATTGGTGCATCAGCGGCTCAAGCATTGCTCAGAAATTCACTCTATTTTCTTGCAATTGGGTCCAATGATATCTTATTCGGAGAATATGCAACTCTTGATAAGAACGGTTTTACAGATGAAGTAGTTTCCAGTTTCAAATCCCAAATCACAGTAAAATCTTCTCTCTCAGATAACGATTTTTAATTCCTGTTAAGTTTCACCATACAGGTCAAAATGTTGCCTCGGTTTAACAACAGAGTAAACATCCTGATCTCTTCAAGTGAAAACCTGTGAGGGTTTCTCTTTACAAGCCCTCACTAACTTTCACTCAACAAAAGAAAGAGTAAACATCCTGATCTTTTCAAGTGAAACCAGTGAGGGCCTCTCTTTACAAACCCTCACTAACTTTCACTCAACAAAAGAAAAAGACGTAAACACTATCTGATTTCTAACGATCTTTGATCTATGTAAATTGCAGACTTTACAACATGGATCAGTATTCGTTTATATCGATGGTTATGCAGTAACGGATGATATCATTAACAATTCTAGATCATATGGTGAGACTCATCAATGAGCGTTTGGAAATGTTTAATAAACTTCAAATTTTGATTTTTTTTTTTATGGCTTGGGTTCCTGTTTCAGGATTTGAGAACATAGACTATGCCTGTTGCGAAGTGATAGGGAGACATGGCGGTCTGATTCCATGCACAGAGATGTCTCGAGTTTGTTCTGACCGGAAAAAGTATATTTTTTGGGATCCATTCCATCCAACGGAATCAGCAATTTTAATTGCAGCAAAGTATATGCTGGATGGAGGTCCTGAGTATGTTTCACCCATCAATATCCGTCAACTTGCTAATTCCTGATGGCGTTTTATAGTTTGATCACCATCGGTGTATAAAATAAGCCTATATATTTCATCATTCAAATAAATTTTAAAAAAATGAAAGAAATAATCGAGCATCTTTTAGTGTGCATTCGAACATCTTAGAAATGGCCAGGAAAACAGACCAGGTCGGAATTGCCAGTAAACCGGTGATTGTGGTATTTCTTGTTGGCACCAGTAGAACAGGGACAGAGCGGGGATGAAATTTCAGGAGTGGTAACTAAGAGTACCTAAAAAGCAATGACCCCAAAAAAAATGAAGAACCAAAGCTTAACTTACCTAGTTTCAAAACTAGGTGAACCTAACAAATAACAATAAATTGTACCCAAGTAGCTGAGGAGAGTGGTTAACTAATTCGACCTTCAACTTATGTATAGTATTTAGGTACTATTTTCATATCACCACTTTTCGTGCATCATGCATAATCACACATTGTACCATATTAGTAGTTATTCCTCGTTCAGGCCTGGTTGTCGAAATTCACATTCGGGCACATTATGATAATTATACATCAACATTGACATAAGTCATGACACAAAGAAAACCAATCTCCAGCACAACTAACAGATTGCTGTTATCAAACGAATATCGATCATATATATTAAGGAAAGATACAGCTTTCGGTTGCAGAAAACCTTACATGAGCTACTTCAAAGATACATACCTTTGTCTATGAGCAACACGAAGCTGTCCATTCTGCAGGTCTATCTGTGAGAACCATTCCAGCAGGGTTTTGTGCTGGCTGCACTCGAGGTAATCTTTTAGCTGTTGGGGGAGGGAGGGGGAATTAGTCGACTGCTGACTCATTGAACGGATAATGCTTTTTGAGGGGGAACATAAAACGAAACAACAAATTAAACTTACCTATTTCATAGAAAATGTCGTTGACATTGGATGCAGTCTTTGCAGAAGTTTCCATGAAGAAAAGGCCATTCTCTTGGGCGTAAGTGCTTGCTTCCTGAATCATCGAGGAGAATAAGAAGTGAAATGGACGTTTGCATGTACGTCGATGTTAAATTGAAATCACACCATGAATCTATTCGACCCTTTATCATCTCAAAGAGAAAAAGATAGTTTGAAATGTCAAAAATCCAAAATTACACTAATCATAGCAGTCGTTCTACCTAACAATGCTAGGGATTACTGATTACTAATAATGATATAATGTGTTACATTTAAAAATTAAAGTGGTACTTTAAGGTTTAAGAGTATGATACAGATTACGTATGAGTCCATCATGGTTTATGTTCAGATTTTCTTTCCAAGTTTTCCTAGCAATTTAAGGGTCTTCGTAGAGTTGTACTCCATAACCATAACCATATCAGGATAGGTATCGGAAACAGGTAGTTCAAGAAATATGAAGAGTTAGAGAAATATAGAAAATAATAACTTGCCTCCGATGCCACCTTCCTTTCATCGAGTAAATCAGCTTTGTTCCCAGCAAGAGCTGTTACCATATTAGGATTGCCTTCGAAGGAAAAGGAAAAGGATTTCAACATCAAAATCAGAAATCAATTACTCGGGAACGTAAATAAAAAATTTGTAAGTATAAAATAGGAACGATAAACTTGATACATAATCAAGAAGAATGTCAACCAAGGAGTAGAAAAAGAAAACGGCTACCTTGTGATTGAAGTTCCTGGACCCATTTTTTGGCTCTCTCAAATGACGCCTGCAAAATAAGAGCACTATTACCATTCTTTCAGATACTAAATATCATCGTGTTGATGCATCAACCAGACAAACCCTAGTCGAACATAGTGTTGCAGCCGCATTGTTGAAGTTAGATTCAAAGAAAGCTATTGAAGTTAACCAAGTATGACCTTAAATTACAAGCTATGGAAGTTTTAATTCCTTCATCTCCCAAGAGCAGTAGGCATTTTCGCATTGATATAACCGAATCACAGAGAGAAGACACGGGTTAAATATCATGAACTTACTTGATTCGTTGTATCGTAAACAATGATCGCAGCTGCAGCTCCCCTGTAATACATTGGTGCCAAGCTATGGTACCTCTCTTGGCCGGCGGTATCCCAAATCTCGAACTTTACAGTAGCATCATTCACCGCCACTGTCTGGGAGAAAAAAGCTGCTCCTATGGTCGACTCCTACATATTATAAATCAATATCAAACCATATATTCCCAACTCAAAAATCGAATCAATAATGTTCTAACTCAGAGAATACAACCGCACCAACCTGAAACTCAACGAATTGCCCTTTAACAAAGCGCAAAACAAGACTCGACTTTCCGGCTCCGACATCCCCAAGTAGAACCTGAAGAACAAAACACATATTAACAACTGATACATGCAACAAACACCAGTTCAAAGATCAAACATGGAATTTGATTGGCTCTAAAATCAACCACCAAAATCAAAAGAACATTTTTGCAAAACTAAGCAAAAAACATATAATAATTCGCATAAAAATCAAATATGAAGCACAATCCATCAAGACCCATATCATAATTCAGCATTTAAAGCCGATCCAAAGAACAAAATTCAATATAAACCATAAATAATTCACACAAAAAGCAAACATGAAGCACAATAAATCAAGACCCAGCTCATAATTCAGCATCCAAACCGACACAAAGCGCATAAAAATCAAGTAATTCATAAAAAGCGAGGGTTTAAAAGATCGTGACAGATAGAAAACGAACTAATTTAGCATTGATGTTCTTGTTTCCAGTGGTGGCCATGGGATCTTCTTGTCGATCAGATTTGTGTTTGCCAAATCAAAACAGATCGAAAATAAATAAAAATTATGCAGTCAAGCCAAAATGAAACTGAGAACTGTGGATTGGATTGTTGAAGAAGAAAACAATGAGGGAGATTTATTAAAGAGGAATGTGAAAATGCCAAAGGGTCAAAACAAAAACCAAAGTTTCTTCACGAAAACTTTAAAGCAAAGGACACCAATTTTGATGTTTTATTTTCTTCTATGGAATTCTTTTGCGTTTTCTTCTGGTTTAATAATCAAAATGGTCCCTCAATTAAACTTATTTATTTTCTACTTAAATATCTAAGTTTTAACAATATTTTTAAAACTGGACCGGACATTGAACATGTGAAGGTATTAGTTCACTGGTTCAACCGTGGTTGAACCGGATTTTATATAAAATATTTTTTTTTAATTTTACATAATATTCAAAACAATATTAATATATATGTAACACTTTTTTTTAAGTTTACAATATTAAAAGGTATAAAAATATCATAAGTCATAACATATATAAATTAAAAAATCATAAAATCAAGTGAAACAAAATGATTCAAATTAACTACAACATAATATTTAAGGTAAAATATATTAAATAATAAATATAATTATATAACTATAATCAAAAAATAAAATTAGGGCTTAAAAAATCATAGCAAATGATATCATTTGGTTTAATTTCTTTTTTTAAAAAAAAGCAATCTCACATGGTTAAGAAACATAGAATAGCATCCAAAACTTTAAAGAGTAAAAATATAAGAACAAAACAATCACACATGGCTAAGAAACATAGAAGAGCATCACAATTTACTTCTATAAATAATAGAGGTAATTTGACATTCAAAATCATGGAGTCTTTTGGTGAGCACAGAGCGAACTATTATTTCGCTTCAATTAAGCTAAAATTTTAGGCTTCAATCGAACTTTTAAATTTTTTTTGAGTTCGAGCCTTTTTGAGTTCAAGTTTTAATATTATATTTCGAGTTCAAGTTGAACTTGATAAATTTTAGCTCGTGAGTTTTTGAGTCGAGTTTAGCTCACTTTTAAAGTTTTCGAGTTCGAGTCGAGCTCAACAATACTCGAATTTGACTTGGCTCGTTGAACAAACGACGTCGTTTGGTTTAATTTTTTTTTTAAGAAAAAAAGTGAACCGGCGGTTCAAACCGATTTTGCCAGTTTTTAGTCGATTCACCCCGATTTTACCAGTTTTCAGCTAGTTCATTGCCAGACCAGTTTTGTGAGGTAACCGGACCGGACATGCCACCAATTCACGGTTCAACCGATTGAACCGGCCGATCCAATCCGGTTTTGATAACCATGGTTTTAACTCAATATATAATCTCTAGTCCAACTACGAGAGACACCTATAGATGGGTTGAGAGGTGATGCGATGGCCCTTAAAATTTTTAAATTTTATATAATTTAATAAATTTTAATGTTTTTTAATAATATAATTTCAATGAATATAAGTTCACTTCTAAAAATTTATAATTTATTTTCTGATATAAAATATTACGCCCATCTCTTTAACCCATGGAGAGCTTACGGGCAACCAGTCGGCATTGGATCATCACAATTATCTTTTTTGCATGAAGTTCATTTATTATTAATTAAAAATGATTTATTAAATTTTCACGTGATCTTAATTTTACAAGAGAAAACTATAAGATCTTGACATTCATCAGTTAAGCTGTAGCAAGTAGTAACCAATCTTATTATCAATTTGAACTTGCAAATAATATTTTAAAATAGAGTATCAAATTATGTTAAATTAAAATAAAGAAATTAAATATCAACTTTTACCATAATAAAAGGACTAAAACAATAGTTACACCATATAAGTCCTTTAACTCGTCATCATGCACCTTTTCCCATGTTGGAAAAAGGATACGGTAAACTATACTATAGACCACTTAACTATAAACTCTTTTTATTTTGAGTATTATTTTTACATTTTTACCAATCATGTAACCCAATTATTTAAATGTATTCAATTAAGCCACTTTTCATTAACAATTAACGGAAATGATGACGTGACAGTTAATAAAATTTGTATAACTACACATTTTAGGTAGAGAAGCTAAGCAAGGAATGCCACTGTGCCAAACCTTCAATTGTGACTAGATTTACATAACTTTGTATAAAATCCGTTAATACTGCCAAAAAATTTATTTTTTTTTTATATTTTTAGACGAAATTTAATATTTTTCATGATTTTAATTTTTAATTTTTGTTAAATAAACGTGTATAAAATGTAAAAATTTTCTTTTAAATATTATCATTTAATATAATTTTATGATAAATTGATATGTATTTTATATAAAGAAAAAATATTAAAAGTTAAAATCATGAAAAAATATTAAATTTTGTCTAAAAATATAAAAAAATTAATTTTATTTTATTTTTGTATTAATTTGAGATTAAAGTCCATGAATAAGTCCCTAATCAATAGTTGACTTAGGTTTAAGTACATAAGTAAGTAGTTTTCTTTCTTTATTTTCTTTTAAATATTATCGTTTAAATATTATCATTTAATATAATTTTATGATAAATTGATATGTATTTTATATAAAGAAAAAATATTAAAAGTTAAAATCATTAAATTATAATCATGAAAAAATATTAAATTTTGTCTAAAAATATAAAAAAAATTAATTTTATTTTTTTTGTATTAATTTGAGATTAAAGTCCATGAATAAGTCCCTAATCAAATAGTTTACTTAGGTTTAAGTCCATAAGTAAGTAGTTTTCTTTCTTTCTTTTTTTTTTGGCAGTAGCTAAAATATATTTTATATAAGATTATATAAATCCAATCGCAATTGAAGGCTTGACTCAGTGGCATTGCTTGCTTAGCTTCCCGCCTAGCTAGTTGGACACAAGATTGATTTCCCCTCTCTCATTTCTTAGGAAATTGTTTTTCCTTTAACCAGATAGTGACATGTGTCGTCATATGATTAGATGATTAAATTTATTAAATTAAATTAAATTAGTATTAAATTGATATAATATATAAAAATTGAGGATCAAATATGTAATTATATTAATTTATTAACTGCTAAATCGTCACTTCCTTTAACTGCAAGTGACTTAATTGAATGTATTTAAATAGTGAAGTGACCCGCCTGGAAAAAATTTAAAAATGATCGTTAAAATGAAAAGAGGTCATAGTTAAACAGTCTCCGGTATAGTTTACCCCAAAGGATATTACTTCACCCACCTAATTCGTTCCCTGTTTGCGTTAAAGAATCATTGTTTAGTTAAATTTAAATATTTTTAAAGAAAATCAATAAATAGTATTTCGAAATTATTAGTTGTTTTACCAACTTGACCAATAAACTTGATGTTAAAAAGATTTTTTTTTTCAATACCAAAACTAGCATAAAAAATTTATTCCTATAAATGATAAATTTAATGAAATTTATGACTAGCTTCGTTTTTAAACATGAGTTTGGTTAGTTATAATTAACATATACTCATGTATTCGTTTTTTTTCTTAATTTTTTTTAAAAAAATTAATATTTTTAATTATTTACATAAAGTAAAAAATAATAATTTTATTCCAGTATAAATACACATTAAAAATTAAAGTTTTAGCTAACATTTTCATTAAAAAACAATTTGATTTTTTTTTAAAAAAAGTTGATGGCATTTCAACAACCCATTAAGTTGTGGCATGTGACAATATATCACGTCATTACATGTTAAAATTGTTAAATTCAAATATCAAATTAGACCAAAAAATATCAAACGAAAGACACATTCCGGAACAAATTGTAATTTTTCAAAAAAAAAGAAGCATAGGTACCAATACCATATTAGAAAAAAGTAACAAATTCGGGTACCAAATCATTTAATTAACCCTTAGTTTAACAAGCCTACGCCATGGGAGGTGCATTAGATAAACCAAAACCTGAAGTTCAATAATGTTCAAGCGTTCAATAATTAACCTATCAAGAATCTACGGAATTCGTCTGTAAACATATACTCCGAAGCTCACTTAGATGTTTAGCTCAATGGAAAAACTTAAAATGTTCCACGGGAAAACCATGACCTTCTGTTGTCTCGGGAGTAACAAAGCTATCGCTTTTTTCTTCCACCCTTCCCGGACTTGGAAGATCCGGAAGTACTCGATGTTGATGGAGCTTCCTGCTTCTTAGTCCTCCCCGGATGTTTAGGTACCAACTCCGCAACTTGGAGCATCAGCTGTTTCCCTGCAACCACACAAATTATGGAACTGTAACGCATAATTCACTCCAGCGCTATTCTTGTTTTTCTTCTCATTTAATTAATGAAAAATGAGACACATGCAACACTTCTCCCTTCATAATCTAATTTCGCAAAGTCAAAGATCGAAAGTGTTTTCACACTATCAAATAACTCGCATGTTTCTACAGAAAATATGTCGCTTTTGCATCAAAGAGTTCCATTATTTATTCTCAAGCTCAAAACTGGCAGTCGAAGTATGTTAAAAGACTACACTTACTTGAAGGAATGGATGGAATGCTTAAAGTCCCATCCTCCTTTTTCAATTGAACCCTCACTCTCCCTCTTTGCATGAAATCGCGAGGATATGCCTTGTCAATCTGTACAAATCAACTTTAACTCAGTTGTATAACAAATATAAAGAACTAGTTTGTTCAAACAGCAGGTAGAGTAAAAATTCGACAAATCATTCAACAAGTGTGAGATGAATTGGTTATTCGGCATTTTCGTTCAAAAGCCCCAGGTTACAAGATGTTCGGCAAATGATTTTAGCATCCTTGTCATAGGATGCCAAAATCACTTGGCTAATAAATAGCTCTAAAGGTAGCAAGCTGCTGAGGTTTGAGGAGCAACCTTCTTTTCAGGTAAATCGGTGGCAGGGGAAACAAAGTTTACAAAAGGCACGGACAATAAAAGTGAGTACTAATCATATGACTAAAGATAGGTTTCGGAAACAGTGCACATGCAGGGGGAGAAATCAACAATGGATAAGGTAGAACACTGTATGTGTAGACCCAGCACTCTTGGATAGACCCTTGAATGATGAACGGAGCAGTGCAGGCAAAACCCAAAAACCATACTTGTGGCATTCAGAGACCATAAGAGTTTTACATCCTCAAAGGAGGCAATATACAATGGTGGTGACAACCTCGGTTAATTTTGATTCACCCGAGGAAATAGTAACTGTTAGAACAAATTGATGATAGAAAGTCTTAAATGTCCATTTATGGGTAGATTCACGGGAAGGTACAGAAGGAAGCAATGATAGAAAGCAACAAGAGTAAGACAGATCTTCATTTATTTCTATTGTTACAGAAGGAAAAAATACATATAATTGTTGCTATCCGCAATGGATTTCAACCATTGCTAATGGAATTATTTAGCAAGTTACTTGAAACCTCGGGTTCTAATCAGGAAAAAGTTAATATTAGATTCGGTTCCACAATGGCATCACAAGTCATACAAGAACAAACCTCGATGGCATTTGGTACTTTGAGATGGTTGCAGCAATCAGCAATTTCAACACATGTGGGATTTTCACATGCTTTAGCCAAGCTGATTCTCCGTCCCTCGGCTACCGTTTTCTTCGAATTTATATAAACAGGATAGAAAACCACCCATTTCTTTATGTTGGGGACTTCTCCATTCATCTTCTCTTATCTGAAACCAACAACATATCATAGAATTCAGCAAAAAAAAAATTGCATACAAAATATTTCAGAACCGATATTATTATTCAATGAATCTTAATATACGTGTTAATGCCAGAAAAATGCAAATAAAACATTTATTAAGAAAATGCTCGAAACCATACACAGATGAAAGTAAACAAAGAATTCTAAATCTACACAAGGAAAACAGCAGTGGTAGAGGTAGATAACCCTAAAAATACAATCCCAAAAACCCTATATATATTACGTAAAACCTACACAAACAAGCAATGTTTTAACATTAAAAATAAGATTGCAGTCAAGTAGCTGATCAATTACTAGAAAAATCACACTGAAAACAATCAAAATTTGAAGGAAAAAAGAGGAAATTTGAATAATGGAAAAAACATAACCCAAAATAAAATTCATTTTTAGGGTAAAAATTGTTTTCTTCTCCATTAAATTAATTGATCCAAAATCAAAACTAATAACCCATTTTTCATCGAAATCAGTGACGATGTGACTGAAACTTTTCTTTAAAACCTAGAGTTACCGATTCCGGTGACTGTTGATCGGCTGTATAGTCGGGTCTGGCTTCGAAATCTTGGGTTGCTCAAATCTTTAAGCCTCCAACTAAATGCGCAAGCGTTTTGTAAACGAGAGCGAGCGTTTAGGCTTCGTGATTTCTTTTTCTTTTCTTCTAGTTTGAGAATTAAATACCATTTAATGGGCCTGGGCTGAGCTGTTTTAGTAATTACGGAGAGGCTCATTCGATATGCACTATTTTTTATTTCAGGTTTATCATTATTTGTAAAATATTATTTATCTTATATATACATAAATATAATTTTAATTATGTACATATAAATATATTTATATAAAAATATAAAATTTAAATTATTAATTAATTTTAGTTACTGAATTAAATTTCTATTTTTTATATTTAAATAATTATAATTAAAAATAGTTAAGATAAAATAAAGTAAAATTTTATTTAAAACAATAAAATTTTTATTTAAAAATTGTAATATGAGATGATACACGTAAATCGAAATCGGTGATGATTAAAATAGGCCAGGTAGTAAGGAATCTGATGTCTTTAAAATAAAATTTTTATTTCATGTCTTACTAATGAAATAAATAGACGTGAGAAGAAATTTGTTTCTATTAAGGGTTTGTACTCCGAAAATTTATTACGATACGTTTAATATGTAAATAAAATTGAAAGAAAATAAAAGATATATGATAGATACAAAAACTCTAAAATCCTAGCGCTTGATGCACTCTCACAAATGTAATTTTACTGCCAACTTTATTTAATTCTTCTCTTTTATTCATAATTACTCTTTTAAATTTTCACGTATAATTATATATTTTTATTTACACTCGTATTTGTTTATTTATTTATTTATTATTATTATCTCGGTTAATCTTAATTTTGTAAATAAGTATATATGAAGTTTGATTTTAATTAATTCACGAGTATAGTATCATAATTAATGACATACTATTTATATTTATTCATCCTTTAAACAAATAAATATTTTACTTGAAAAATGCATTTAATAAAAAATAATCAATAAAATAAAAAAAGTTTGTGATATTATTATTTTTAATACATTCGATCTTTACTGGCCCGACTCTCTCCTTTTAATTCATTCGATAAAATAAAAGTCGTAACATCAAATAATGTCATGTCATGTCATCATTTAATTTTAGACAAAGTGAATACTCATAAATGATGAATCTAGTGATGTGTAAGCCAAAAACATAATATTTTCCTTGGATGATTTTCTCTAGTTCAGAGAAAATGTCGGATTACGATTAGGTTTTTGGTCAATCTGATTTGGCCAATATGACTTGAAAATTATACGTACCATTCAATATGAAATCTGATCCAGCTAAAATTTTAGAGTTAAAATATGTATAAATCTGGTATAGAAGATTTAGAGTTCACAATATAACCAACAATCACTTAACACGGTCACATGAACATAATTAATTCGAATTAAAATTCATGTATGATCCGACACAAAGTTCATTATATACCAAAAAATCACTAATCGCAGTCGCAGAAACCATGGATCGAACTTAATGTTCGAATCCTCACAGTCCAGATATAATATGATCAAAATCATGTACAAAACATACCAAATTACGATTTGTTTCTTGTTCACATGAGTGCTTATGCCCTCCCCCTCTCTAAACTAGACTTTCAGCGAGCTTCATATTGAACAACTGTAGTAAACACAATGTTTTCACATTAACTGTTGGAATAATGAAAAATAGCGAATCAATGCTCTATAAAGAGCACACGGAAGGTTTGCGATAAGAGCGTTCATTTTTTATGACAACCAATGCCGATACTTGATATTATCCTGGTAGCTGATAACAGTAGCAGAACACAAAGAATAAAGCAAAGAAGAACGAGAATTTTCTCATTTACAATTCCGGTTGCTTCACCCAATCTCAAAATTCAAAATAAAGCATAGTTGTAAAAGTTTTCATGAACTTGTCAAGGCTGCATATTCGAGATGGAAAAGAAAACCGGCGAACATGAAATGAACCTCTTAAGCTAAAAGCAAAAACCTTTATAACAGCTACAGGTCCAAAATTAGTAGAGTCATACCAAAATTAGAATAAAAACAAGGCACACCTAGGCGCACACCTTGACAAATAAAGATATTTCTCAATTCGTTGGTCGTTGATTTTCATTTGAATGTGATTGTTACATATCCTAAAATAAGTTTCAAATGAGTCTATTCCTTTAAAAAAAAAAGAAGGTAGCATTCAGTTGAACTCTATCTGACACCTTGTTTTTTCTCCAAGTAAATTTTGATACTGCTTATTGGTCTATTATGTTCCTGGTACTGAAAATACTTATAGAACATTTACTAAATGCATTTGATAGTTGTTAGTGATTGGAACTATTGCTGGAATTATTCATCCGTTGCAAATGGCAGAATTTGGGTTATGTGGAGGAAATGATTGAGTTTTTCTGTTGTACAGGTTGATGACCAGTCTGTCACTATTCAGGGTAATTTAGGTGGGAAAAGTTTGTTCATAATTGTTGTGTATGGGAATAATAGTGGAATGATTAGAAGAGGTCTCTAGTAGTAGTTGAAAACTATTGACTCTTTAGTAGGTAATTCTGCTTGGTTGATTGGAGGTGATTTTAACATCACTGCTGATGTTAATGAAAACTCTAATTCTGAGGATATGCATGTTTCTTCTGAAATGGAAGATATAAAAGGGTTGCATGAGAGATCTGGGATTGATGGACCATCCTTTTTTTGGTCCTACTTTCACTTGGTCAAACAAGCAAAAAGTGGGACATTTAGCTAGGAAACTTGACAGGGTGCTTATAAATGACATTTGGTGTGATGTTTTTCCAGTGTCTCATGTAGAATTCTAAGTCCCGAGGGTCTCTGACCATTGTTTGGCTGCATTCTAGCACTCTAGGGAGAGCATTACTTCGAAGTCTAAACCTTTTAAATTTTTTAACTTTAGGTGGAGCACCTTGATTTTAAGGAAATTGTTAGAAGCTCTTGGGTGAAACATGTACAAGGTGATCCCATGTACATCTTGTTCTGCAAGTTAAAGAGGTTGAAACCTTTATTGAGATAATTGAACATGAAGCATTACTATAATATTTCAGGGAAAGTGGCTGATAAAAGAGAGCAGTTAGGAAAGCAGTAGATGGAGAATTTGACTAGCCCTAGTCTGGGGGGTTTGGCTAATGAAAGGAATTTTCAGGTTGAGCTGGCTAAGTTGGAGAAGGCTGAGAGGCTGTTTTATCAATAGAAGGCAAAGGTGGACTGGCTTCTTGATGGTGACTTATGCACTAAGTTCTTTCACTCCTAAGTTACAGTAAAAAGAAAAAGGAATCTTATTAGAGTTCTGATGGATGAGTAGGGTAATAAATTGGAGACTTTTAAGGCCATATCATCTGAAATGGTTGATTTCTTCATTAAGCAAATTGACGTTATTGATATGAATGTGCAAGGGTGTGGAATTAAGGTTATTCGAAGTCTTTTAGGCTATAGTTTGTCTGCTGGTGGTAAAGAGGAATTGGAAAGGAATGTCACTAAGAAAGAAATAAAATATGTTGTTTTTGGCCAAGGGAAGGATAAGGCCCCTAAGCCAGATGACTTTACTGCTAGTTTCTTTTAATCAATTTGGGATATTGTTGGGAGGATCTGTGTAAGGCTGTGGAGTATTTTTTTTTTTGCAACTTCTGAGATGTTTTCTGTTTTCAATGCAACTACTGCTGCTTTAGTCCCTAAATTCCGTAACTTTTGTATGATTAAGGATTACAAACTCGTATCTTGTTGTTATGTGGTTTACAAAGTGATTGCCAAAATTCTGGTAGTTAGATTGGCCAAATATTTTCCTAGTATGATATCCTCAAACCAATATGTTTTTTTGAAGGAAAAGAAAATAGAGGATAACACTCTTCTTTCTCAAGAATTAGTGAAGGGTTATGGTAAAAGTTTTATCTCTCCTAAATGCTTTATTAAATTTGATTTGCAAAAAAACATTTGACTCCTTGAATTGAGAGTTTTTACTTGTTGTTTTGGAAAGGTTGTGGTTGGCTGTTAAGTTCATAAGCTGGATTGAGGCTTGTGTTACTGACTCAAGTTTTTCAATTGCTTTAAATGGTAGTCTAGTAGAATTTTTCAAAGGTAAAAGAGGGGTTAGACAAGGGGATCCTCTGTCCCCTTACCTATTTGTTTTGGCAATGGAAGTTTTGACAAGGCTGCTGGATGCTGCTGTTGAAGGGAGGATTTTTAGGTATCATCATAAATGCAGCATAATAAAGTTAACACATATGTGCTTTGCAGATGATGTGTTGATATTTTGTAAGGGACCTCTTAATTCCATTTTGGGAGTTAGAAGTGTTCTTGAGGAATACTATAAGCTTTCTGGTTTAAAATTAAATGCCTGCAAAATTAAAATTTTTATTGCTGGAATGGTTGATGCTGAAGAGGCTCTGGTGCAGGAGGTCAATGGGTTTAGATTAGGAAAGTTGTATGTTATATACTTTAGGGTTCTTCTAGTAATTAGGAGGTTAACTGAGAGTGTGTGTGTTGGCCTGGTAGATAAAATTAGTGCTAAGTAGGCTCTTGGTCTAGTAAGAATATGAGTTATGCATGAAGACTTCAACAGGTCAAGGTTGTGATGTTCAACATGGCTAACTATTGGTTTATACAATTGTTTCTGCCTACTGCAGTAGTTAAAAGAATTGAGCAATTATGTGCTAGATTTTTTTTGGAAAGGGGAAGATGTGTCTTCTGGAGGGGCTAAAGTAAATTGGGGAAGTATCTGCACTCTTAAGTCTAAAGGAGCTAGGAATAAAGAGGTTAAAGTGCTGGAACAGAGCTTGTCTGCTATTGTTGGAGAAGAATCTTCTTGCTGAGGAGGGTTCACTTTAGGTGACTTGTGTTAGGACTTGTGCCTTCAAAGGTGCTGACTTTTGGCATGTTGAAAGTAAGCCTTGGTTTAGATGATGTTTGAGGAAAATTTTAAGGATGAGGGATGAGATTAATCCCTTGTTTTCTGATGTTGTTGATTGGGCTAAGGTGAATGCCAGATGGATCTGAAATGAAATAAGGGATAAGAGGGTGAAAGAGTGTTGGCATAGGCTTATTTGGTTTCCTATGCATGTCCCTAA